GCGCTGCATGATCGCGTCCAGACGACCTTTTACCAACAGTCGCCTCAGAACATCCTCAACATTTCTTTGATAACCGCCCTACTCCCGACCGAGTTCTTCGACCTGCAAAGCATCGACCGTATGATGGCCAAGATGCTGGCCCAGAGAGAGGAAGGCTACTTGGAATTCTTTGAGAAACTCCTTGACCTGACCTTATTTTGCGAACGCCCTGTCGCGCTCTTCTCGGATTTTGTGGCCAGTTTGGGGGCTGCGTGGGATTGGATCAACGATGACCCCAGCCTTGACCTCGGCCAGCGGCTAAAATCGAAACTCATCCGCTCGGGAGTCACGAAGCCGCAAAGCCAACTCATCCAGGACAACACGGGACGACTGGACCAGTTCGACTACGTCTTCGAGGAGTGGACTCGACTGTATACTAATCCTAACACGCCGCAGAAAACTCTGACGGGATTTGTGAGGCAGATTCGGAGCAAGTCGATAGTGTCTACCAAGGACGACTGCTTGATTTTCGTGCGAAGAGCCATCGACGTGGCGGTCAATTTCTACGAGCAAGGCATGAGTACGGGGGCCAACAGTACCGAAGGATTCGCTGCAGTGGATGGCCTGGCAAATCTGATAGGCGCCTTCGCCAAAGACTGCGGCGCTGAGCATGAGGATGACTTCAAAGCCGGTCTCCTCCCCATCCTGGAGGCTGTCATCTCGCTCGTCGCACTCGTCCTCAACCACCATTACGTGACACGGGGCGAGCAGTTCAACCAAAGAGTCTTTGTCCGCCTCTTCTCCATGATCATGCACAACGCCGAAGCCGTCTTCGTCGAGTCTCCGGAGCCTGACGTGTGCCGACAGGAATTCTCACTATACCTCGCAGAGACCTTCCTGCAGATAGGCCCGAATCGGTTCGACGGCTTCTCCTTTGGATGGCTCAGCCTGTTAGGTCATCGACTCTTCATACCCATCCTTCTCTCATACGAGACGAAGCTTGGCTGGATCCCGTACACCAAGCTCCTCAAGACTGGACTTAGATACGTTTCCGAGCACATGAAGTCAATCGATCTCAGCGACTTGATTAAGGAGTACTATCGCAGTATGGTGAAGCTGATGGTAATGATCACACACGACTATTCGGAGTACGTGTCGGCCAACTCGTCTCAGCTGTGCCTGAGCATTTCACCCCATTGCACGCAGTTGAGGAACATAGTGCTCAATTCCGGCCCGCGATCAGAGGCTGAAGAGCCGGCTCCCCCGCACCCGCACGGAGACGAGGCTTTGAGCTTCGCGTATCTGAAAGACACGGGGATGCTGGAGATTCTGGAGCATGTCGTTCTGTCGCCTCCTTCCGAGGACGCCATCGCTCACCTTACCCATGCCATCAACAAGAACGATCCGAACGAGACAACGTTCGGCAGGGTGCCGGTCGCCGTTGATATGAGGCTCATCGACGGCATCGTGACATTCATGGGCAACTACGCCATTGCGAGGTCTCGTCAGGATATGCCTCTATTCGTTCCCGGCGCTCCCGATGTTGCAGCGCTGTCTCTACTGGTTCACGAGTTACAGCCCCAACCGCGATACTTCTTGCTTAGCAACATCTTTGATCGACTTCGCCAGTATGGTCCCTTCACCGACTACTTCGGCCAAGTAATCTTCGAGATCTTTGGTCAGGACCAAGACTTAAACGACCCCGAGGAAGTAGATATCCGCCAGCAGATTGTTCGCATCATGTTGGAGCGCGTTGCAGGGTTCTGGCCTCAGCCTTGGGGGCTGATTATGGTCATCATGGAGCTCGTCACTAAGGAGAAGTACCACTTCTTTGAGCAACCATTTATCAAGGCAGATCGCGATGTAAGTGACGTGCTCTCGCGCTACTCCCGGCGCTGCCTCTACCCGTTACAGAACATGTCAGACTGACTCGAGGCAGATCGCGGAACAATTCATGGCAATTGCAAGACAGCATGCCCAGTAAATACTTACTGACTGCCGATCCACATCTACAGCAGGGGAACGGTGTGTGATGATGACGGAGCTGTACTTTCAACTCGACATGGTTTAATGATAATCATCCAACCTTGGTCAACGGAGACCTGAGTTACATAGTGGAATGAACTTGGACCTTTGAAGCACATGAAAGGGGGGTGGGGGGAGTTCTCATTTTTCTTTCCTCTTAGGAGATGATACCATAGTGGCGCCCAAAAAGAAGGCGGTAGATGTGACCGTTTGATGATGAGTGGCATTTCATGGCGTATTCGGGTGGATCCTTAACGAGAACTTTGTACGATTTCGCGGAGGACAAGGCGCGAACGAAAGATGGACTTACCAGTAGGCAAAGAGGGGTTCGTTCTGGTCTGGGCTTGGCTTCAGGGGCAAATTCCACGGTTTGGGGGGGACGGCATCTCACGTGTGTACTAATATATAGAGGTGGATGTGGCCTGTGTACGCTGGTCTATCTATCCGAAGAGATGTGTGCCTGACCAAGATGACATGACACGTGCGTTTCTTATTGCTGTCTTCTTGACTTGAGTCCTCTACATCATTATGACTATTTTTTGACAGTAGTAACTACCTACATTGCAGTCGGATAAGTATATCTGCCTCCTAACATGTAGCGCTCGCTGCTGTTCTCCGTTCCGTTGTCGCCTTCATCTTTGGCAAATGCAAGAACGGCCTTAGCACACATTTCGACTGCTCTAGTGCTCTACGATGCTAACATAGTAGGCACCAGCTCGGACGAACGGGCGTGAGAAGATCAGATTACTATAGACCGTGGGCACGAAGCTAATGATAAGACTGTCATCGGTAAATGTCTAGGTACCTAGAGGTGCCTAGGTATGACATACGTTTTTGAACAGCTCGAGTTCCTAACTATCTATATATAAGCCATCCGAACTAGAGGATGCCGTATAACTAGATACTGAGGCAAAGTTCGCCGAGACATATTCCAAAGCAATACATCTACTAAACAAAATGTATAGAGCTGGTCAAGCAACTCTTCGCTCAGCAGGTGAAGACCGCCGGGCCTAATTCATCAGTCAGTCGGTTAGACGTCAGCCTCGGACGAAAAGCGGTGTTCCACGTACCGGGGATCTTGTAAGGGTTGGCTGTTCCTGGGGGCTTGCTGTAGATGTCGATGAGCAGGCCGGGGTCGTTCGACTAGGGCACGTTAGCCAGCTCGCGAGATAGGGAGGGGGGAAGGGGGGTGGTGGTTAGACAATATACAATATTCATATCTGAGAAAACTTGCCTTGTAGATGCCGGGGATGCTGGACGTGGTCGGCTTCTTGCTCGCCTTGCCGCCGGTCACGTTGATCTGGGCGCATTCCATCTACCCTGCGTATCAGCACCAGTTACGTCAAAGGGGAGGCGGCAGCGTAAACCCACGTAGAGCTGCGCGCCGTTGGTAGACCGCGCGCCGTGCAGGGCGATCATCTCGGCACGCAGGAGGTACTGCCCGTCTTCGATACAGTCCGGGATCTGGATCACCTGGTTGCCTCCGTTGCCGATGACGGTATCGGTACCCCATTTGCCGTTGTCGTAGCCCTCCTCCTGGATCTTGAACCAGCCGTCGCCCACGCCGGCGTCCTTCGTCGCGTCCGTTACCTTCTTCAGGTACGCCATCACCGGGCCCTTGTGCCCCGGGTCCATGACGTCGTTGGCGCCGGCTGTTGGGGGTCGGATTAGCACGGTCACTATCCGCCGGTTTGGTTTGCGATGGCACTAGGTAGGTAGGTAAGTAGGTACTTACATTGCAGGGTGTGCCGCCAGATGGCGCCGACAGTGTCACCGGCCTTGACCTCAATGATCTTATCCGAGGGCGTAGTCGGGTTAGGTGGCCCGTTGCAAGCCATATTGCTATTGCTAACGTCGGTTTGCGGCTGCGATGCCATGCTCTGTTAGCCACCCCTAAACTGACATATCGCCTTTCTGAGAGCCGTACGTACCCCATCGTATGAGGGCGTACAGATGGCATGCGACACAGCTAGGAAATGTTAGCGTTTTAATCTTGACATACATGTTTTACCTTCTGTCTTGAGATGGGTAGGCTTACGGAAGGTCTGTGCAGGGGTCTTGAGCTGGCAAAAGATGGTATGGCCCGAAGACACGGAAGCCAGGGCGGCTGCGGCACCAAGGTTAGAAAGCTTCATGATGGCTTCAAGTGTAAATTGACGAATGTGCGAGACCTTGGTGTTTCAAGGATGCTTGATGTGCTTTCCGCAAACGCAGCGGTCTTCCATCTAGCATATATACCACAGCTCCCTCGGAGCCTCCTTCACCTCAGGTCTCCCTACTCATCATGTATGTATACGCCGCATAGCACTTATAGATAGATTCACAATTCAACTCATTGAGAATAAGCAGATCAGGAGCAGGAGACCCATTTTACCATAAGGACTGGCGAATGAAGCATCGCGATGGAAGAACGAAGGCGGCGCGAAGGCTTCCGCTCACAAATTAAGCAAATCGCACATAGTATCAGTTAAGCGGCTATTGACGTATTGTTCGGCAGCGCTCAGCTGTGAGCATCTTCCTCGGATTTATATATCTTCGGCTCAGGGGTGAGTACCTAACTGATCTGTCTCACGTCCCCCGCGTTACTTCAAGCACACCGGAATTGCCAAGCCTTCCAAGTTCTGGGAATTTTTGAGACTCTCAGCTAAAGCTGGACGTATTTGAATATAGGATAAAATTTATGGTGGTCCTATTCATCATTAGGTAAGGAATAGGCCCAACAGGCTTTGATAGTAAGAATCAGGTTGATGACGTCGAGCAAGGGGTCGAAGAATTTTAAGTGAGGCCGCATTTAGTATCATTGCCGCCTATGATACCAAGCGAAATTATGACCATCTGAATGTCTTTTGCCCAACGGTTTACAACACGCAACAATTGTCTTCCAAATCATCACGTCATTGGGTTGATTTATTGCTCAATCTAAATCTATTGCCACTCCGTGCCGATACTCAGCCACTTAGGCTAGCTTAACCGGAGTAAAATTCACCAATTAAATCGGAATCTTAGCTCAGTGGTACGAGCGAAGGATTGCAGTAAACCCCATTGCCGACTATCCTTAGGTCGCCGGTTCGATCCCGGCAGGTTCCTTCACTGCTTCATTCATTTTGCAATCATAACAACTTGGTATAAAATCCTTGGTCTTTTTTATGATACTTTTTTGCCCATGATGCGTGCATGCATGCAGTCAATTTTCTCGAGGTTCGAGTCGTTAAACAAACAAAAAGACCGCGTCTGAAACAGAGCTGTCGGCATGTTATAGTCAACAGTCAGCGGTCAGTTATAGCCTGAGCATGCGTTACTGTCCTCCGCGTTTCATACACTGAGTAGGGGATGCCAGTGAACAACTCATGTTGTCACTTCGCCAGCACCAGAGGTTACGTATAGAAACTTCATCGTTCTTTGCCAACCCTACAGGATATGCAATCAAGGTAGAGCCGACTATAGATCTGGCTTGTCCGGGTCTGCGGGCACGACGCTGCACACGTTCTAGGACAAGGTATAGTCAGATCTAGCAACTCGTCTTTACGGAGATGACTTGTCAACTACCAAGAAATACGTATGTGCCCCCTACAGGAACATGCTATAGCTCCCTCAAAGCCGCGCCCTGACGGCTGGAGACTCCGTCGATGCTTCCTCAACAGCATCACCAAGGACATGATCAGCCTACGAGATCCATAGTCAGCACTATCGAACCAAGCTTCTTTCGATCCAGCACTGGCGCCATCCCTACTTACCTCATAATAGTACATCCACTGATTCTTCGAGTTCCAGACCCGCTCGACACGGTACCGGATCTCCTCGTCAGCCGACAGCCTCAGGGCCGCCAGCTCCCGCTCCGCAAGAGCGCCTTCATCCAAGACCCTGTACAGCGCCGCGTAGTGCGGGGAGCGCACGCGGTCGAACAGCTCCAGCCCACGTGCGTGAGGTCTCCCCTCATCGTGCGCCCACCGCAGCGCCCCGCCCAGCACATACGCGTCCTCGAGCGCAAACCCGGCGCCGGCGCCGAAGGCCCCGGACAGCGGGTGCGCGGCGTCACCCACAAGAGCGACGGTGCCGCGGCCGTCGATCGAGCTAGCCAGCCGCTCGCCGGCGAACGAGTCGAACCTCTGGACGCGCGTGACGAGCGCCAGGAGCTGCTGCATGGGCGGCGCGAGCTCGTGGAAAGCGTCGGTGAAGTGGCCCACGGGCGCGTCTTGGCCCCAGCTCACGCGCTCGTGCGGATGTGACGGATCTCTGACCCTGGCGGTGATCTCGAAGCCGTTGTCGGCCAGCGGACAGGTGTAGATCCACTTGCCGTCGGTCCCGTGCCAAAATGTGGCGGCCTGGACGAGGCCGTTGATCCTCGTTGCTTCGTCGAGCCCGACTACCGTGCGGTACGACGTCGCGCCCGTGTACGATATACGGTGGTTGGGGAACGCGAAGTGCCTGACGACCTACGACAGTGTTAGACCCGTATCCCACCTAATAATCACTACGCAATTTTATTTTGGATGGCTTTCGCTACATCATGTTAGGTCATTGACCTACCGAGCGGATGCCATCGGCGCCGACTAGGATATCGACTTGGTCAGTGGAGCCGTCTTCGAAGAGAAGTCGCAGCCTCGTCCCTTCGTCGATCCGGGAGACGCGAGCCAATTTCTTGCCTACGCGGATCCGGCTATGGTCAGTCTCTCTCAGGAGGGCGTGCTGGAGCTTCGCGCGGTGCGCCCGGCACGGGTGCCGATGAGGCGGGGTGTCGGCGCGAGGTCGCTGCTCATCGATCAGCTGACCGGTGCGTCCGTTTCTTTACCCCGACACGTCAATTACAGTGGTAAGCTTGAATTCATTTTCTTCTCATCATTGCTCGTGGTAATATCCTCGTGGATACTGACTGCTGCGATACTTACCGGTGCTGCTGGAAGTGCCCATTCACATGGTCTGGTCTGAAGAAGTCTGTAGTGCTGAGATGTCTCGCCGCACCCATGAACTCGAGCATCCTCCACGTGTTCCGTTGGATGGTAATCCCGGTGCCGAGTTCGCTGATGGCTGGCTTCTTCTCGTAGAGCGTCCAGTCGACGAAATCTAGCTTGCCGAGCTCGATCGCCGTAGCTAAACCTGCTGGTCCACCACCAATTATCGCCACTTTCAACTTCTTCGACCCAGGTGGATCAACGCGTTTAGAAATCATCATTTATCCGTATATGTGTTTTTTCCAACCCGCATATTTCTATTTTAAAGCATATGCTTGTCGTTTAGGTTATTATTCTGATTATACCAAAGCCTGACTTGTTCAGGTGATGGAACGTAATCTTTCGGATAACCCTTGGACGCAGTTCCACTTGAAAATATTGGACTCGCCGCCGGCCAGTATTCTAGAGGAGCGTGAGAGGGTCTTGAAGTACTACGGAGTGACTCCTGTGCGGAGTTCAAGGGTGGTGGAATAAATGCAGCATATTCGCAATACTCACTCACGTGACAACTGTCTTGAACGAGCTGACGAGGAAGAAATAGCTCTGAAAGTCAGTACAGAGGGAATGAGAATATAGGTACGATTCTTTATACCAGTCGTCTATCTAGATTCTGATTTTGCTCGAAGTCATCCAGGCATGCCTGGCGTAAAATATGACTGGGCTGGGCTCTACCTATCTCACTTGAAGGGCTATCGTACCGATTTGAGATTCACGAATCATCGGTCATAGTACTATGCCCGTGTCCGCCGACAAGTCTGGTATCGGCACTCTACGGAGAACTGATTCCGGCCGACACTTTTTGCGTCCGACTTGGAGAGCTGGTATGTTTCAATTGATTGTCATTACCGGCAGAAAAGCGAACCGTGAATGGTCCTGAACTGGACAAGTAATAAGAGAATCATGTCTTCCTGCTTTACGATCGCCTTCTGAGCCTTGAAATACGGATGAGCGAAAGCAGATTTGATTCGGAGTGTGTTCCGATCTATCCAAGTGTGAGCGCTACACCGGAACGGTATGCCGGGGATGTGATATCTGCGTCCCGGGGATCCGGTCGCTGTTGTTGTTTCGATCTGTCACGGAATTTCTAGGCCAATGCACCGGAAATGCTTCCAGACCGGATTGCATGAGCAGCCCAGCAAAGAGCAGAGCAGTAGCTGAAGCTTGGACCTAGATTAATGCGAGTCCGGTGCGAGCGCAGGGCTTGGGCTGAGAGTGCTTGCGTCTGGCTACTAGCTGCGATATAGAAGCTGAGGCGGCGTCAACTACGAGCTCTTAGTACTATGTAGTCTGCTGGGCCTGCTGGGTACGTATTTAGTAACCTCCTAGGAGAACGCCCCGGCAGCCCGGCAACTGGCATGCCCGCGTGCGTGGGCGCGGAAGTATTACGTATGCTGTACAGTACAAACTTCAAGTAACCAGCACGTGGAATTGGAGAGATCTGATTCCAGCACTTGGCCAACTTGGTAAGGAGCCCAACGGCCTAACGGTGCTACGTATGTATGTACTTCGTACTGTACCTACTACATTGTCCATCTCGCTCAGCTCAATCGCCCCACTTCCTAAAACAGTGGTACAAGCATGAGATCCCGTTCGTTTGCATTCGATTTCCGAAAGAGGGAGACCAGCTCTTCTCTGGTTGGTTAGCTGGCCGACTGGGTGGAATGGTCGACGTGCATGAGACGCAGAGAGGCAGAGCGGAATATATTTGGGTGGTCAGACAGACACTTATCAAACGCAACATTCGTGTTGGGCATGTGCAGATTGTATGTACATACAATATGTAATATACGTACCACTGCGTAGGTAGGCTGCGTTTGCCTAGGTTTGATGGTTTAGGCAGATGCGAGTCAGTCGATCTTTATGAGTCTTCATATCCCAGCATTGCGAGATGGTTGGATGATGGACAATGGTGTGTAGCTTGAAGGCTTCCACTATTATAGATTCCCCGATTGAATAAAATTGAGAGATATGTACCAAGTAAATAATGAGGAGGTGAGGAGGGGCTTCGTTGACGAAAAATCCGTAGCGATAGCTCTGATAAGAGTGATGATATGCCGCATGTGAAGTATGCTGTCCAATGAGAAGATGAGCATTTGGGGAAGTTTCTCGCGTGAGGGAAACCGTAAGGGAACCGTACGACTCGAGGTCTCGACTTTCCCCCATATTACTACTTAACGTCATGCAAGCTCCGCAGGTTTCAGAATCCAGATGGGCTCAAGTCTCACTCACGTAAAAGAGGCTAGCGGCTTAGCCAGCGGTACGTCGGTACCTAAGTGTACTTGTGCAATAATGGCTGGGGACCACTTGGAAGTTGAACTTGACGTCTGTTGTGTGGTTCGCGGGAACCTTCCGGTTATCAACCATTTTAGGAAGCCCAAATATTCTTGCTGGTATTCGAGAGACAGTAAACGGCAGACCTCACTGGCTGCCTGGGATGCGCCATCAAGGCACATGCATGTCAGCTACCGAAACCCTCCTTCTCACTGGACAGACGATACGTCTAATTCGCGGCACTTTAGTTAGTCGCAATGGAAAAATGGGTTTCCGTCACGGTTGAGTCATGGAATTCGCAAATAAAGACGACCCTCAGGCTCAGAATGTGATATATGTGATATATTCAACTTGGAGGTGTATGTACGAAGTAGAAGTCCAGTACATGTACTGTATCAATCACCCCTGCTAGTCTGGTACCCGTCCGTCGTGTTCCGCACGCACCAAGCCTTAACCAACCTTTCTTCCCTTCTTCTCCATCTTTTCGTTTTGAATTTTTCTTCTTTTTCTAGCCTCGTCCAACAGTACCCAGGTATTTCTCTCAACTGCTGACATCCATATGATCTTCTTTTATCATTCTATCCCGTCCCATAGCGAAGAAAAACTTGGAAGTACGATAGTATCTACAATAGTTGGGACCAATCCGATTCATGGGGCCGGAGATTTGACCTCCTTTTGACCACTCCATAGGGTACACTACCAACTACGTACGAGTCCTCCAACCAGTCAATGTGACTTTGCTACTTTGGGGTCGCTCGATATGCACGACGCATTGTCTGCATGTCCCTTCTCCTTACCGCCTCTTCTTTTCCATTATCCATGCTGTGATCGTGTAAGTAAACAGATCATGCGAATTCTGCCACCGAC